CTTTTTCTCTGCCTCGCTCTTCTCTCTGTCGCTTTCCCTCTAATCCTTCTCTCTCTCCTTCACTCCCTCCCTCTGCCTTTGCACCCCTCCACACCCTCTCCCTTGGGGTCAGGCGAGATAAGGCAACGCTACAGATACTTATGAAAACCTACTTCTCATCCTGCTTACGTGTGCTGTTGTTCGCCCTTCGAACGCATCATTCATAAGCCCAGGAACGAAATCGTTTTGGTGATGTTTGATATCTGTCGATGTAAATCTACAGATAAAATGCTTGCAATGAAAAGACTCCCTGGTTTTGTGTTAAGTGTACTGACAGAGCTGAGAATTTTTTTTTTTTTTTTTTCTCTAGCTCTATTTCTCTCCCTGTCTTGCTTTCTCTTTTTTTCCTCGCAAAACTCTCTGTATCTTTTTCTTTCTGACTTTTTGTTTGTTTGCTTGTTTCATCTCCCTCTCCCAGTACCATTTTCCCACCTATCTCTCTAACCCTCCTCTTGAATCTTTATCCCTGACACCGACTCTCTCCTGAAATATTTTTCCTTTTCACCGAAACTGATTCTCATCGTTTCTCGCCCTCATTAGTACATTATTATATCATTATCTTTATTATCATAATCATTATTATACTTATCATTATCATTATAATCACTGTCATTATCAACATTATCTTTATTGCCATTATCAATAGCATCATTTTCATTAATACCTTTAGGCAATCCTGTGCCTCTCATTCCCCTAGAATTTGCTCTTTACAGCTTCCTTATGGAGGACCATGGAAAAATGTTTTATTTAACGAAACAAAATGATACGAATTGATAAGAAGATAATGTATTGCTATTATAACATCGACAATTACCAATATTTGTATCATTATTGTCATTATCATTATCACAATAATATTGTCATTATCATCATTATCATTATCACAATAATGTTGACATTATCATCATTATTATTATTAAAATAATTATCATTATCATCATTATCATTATTAAAATAATTATCGTTATCATCATTATCAATATCATCATTATCTTTATAATCATTATTATCATTAACATTATCACTGTTATCCTCATCATTATTGTTATTATTATCTTTACTATTATTGCCATTATTATCATTATGATTAATATCATCATTATCATTATTATCATTACTATCATCATTATCATTGTTATAATTATTATCATAATCATCATTATCATTAGCAACAGAACTATTATCATCATTATCATTATCAACAGTACTATTATCATCATTATCATTATTAATATTATCATTATTACTATTATCAAAAGCATCAGTTTCATTAGTATCATTATCATTATTTTTAATGTCATTATCTTTAATAACATGATCATTATTATCATTATCAATATTATCATTATCAATATTATCATTATCAATATTATCATTATTATTATTATTAAAAGCGTTATCAAAAGTATCATTTTCATAAGTATAATTTTCATGAGTATCATTATCATTATTTATATCATTATAATTTAGATTATTAACATATGCATCATTCTTATTCTCATTATTATCATTATCAATATTTTCATTATAATTATTATCGTTATCATTATTATCATTATCATTATTATCATTATCATTATTATCATTATTATCATTAACATTATTATCATTATCATTATTATCATTATTTTCATTATCATTATTATCATTATCATTTTTATCATTATTATCATTATCATTATTATCGTTATCATTATTATCGTTATCATTATTATCATTGTCATTATTATCATTATCAATATTATTATTATCATTACCATTATTATCATTATCATCGTTATCATTAATATCATTATATTATTGCATTACCCTTATTATCATTATCAATATTATTATTATTATCATTATCATTATTATCATTATCATTAAAATCATTATCATTAAAATCATTATCATTAAAATCATTATCATTATAATTATCATCAATATCATTATAATTATCATTATTTTCATTACCATTAGTACATTTGCATCAGCATCATTATCATTATTAATATTATCATTATTATCATTATCTTTAATATCATTACCATTATTGCATTATCTTGATATAATTATCATTATTACCCTTATCCTTATAATCATTAGTATCTTTTTCATCAGCATCATAGTTATCATTATCAATATCATCATTATTATATCATTATCATTATTATCATTACCTTTATCATCTTTATTCTTATCATTATTATTATCATTATGATAATCTTCACTATCATTATCATCATAATCATTATTATAATTATCATCTTTATCCTAATCATTATTATAATTTTCATTAACATTATAATCACTGTCATGATCATTATTATCATTATAAACATCATCATTATCATTATTAATATTTTCAACAATATGATTATCATTATCATTATATTTATGATTGTTTTCAGTTGTATGATTTTCATTATCATTGTCGTTATTAATATTATCACTATTATCACGAGCATTATTATTATCATCATTATTATCATTATCCTTTTTTCATTATCTTTATTATCATTTATCATTATCTTTATTATTTATCATTATCTTTATTATCATTTATCATTATCTTTATTATCATCTATCATTATCATTATATTCACTGTGATTATCATTTTTGTAATTTCCATTATTATTTTTATCATTATGATCATTATCATAATCATCATTATTACCATTGTCATTATCCTTATTATCATTACTGACATTATCATTATTATCGTTATCTTTATTATAATAATATTAAATATTATTAATTACATTGTTATCATTATTAATTATCTTCACCAGTATTTGCATATCATATCCTCATTATGATTAACATTATTATCACTGTCACTATCATTATCATTATAATCATTATCAAAAGTATCATTGTCATTATTATCATTATCATAATTAATATAATTATAACCGAAATCATGATCATTATTATTATTATCGTTATCATTATTATCATTATCATTATTATTATTATTATTACTATCATCATTATTATTATCATTATCATTATTTTCACTATCATCATTATTATTATTTTCACTATCATCATTATCATTTTCATTATAATTGTTATCTTCATCATTATTGTCTTTATTATCAATAAATTTTTATTATGATTTTTACCATTATCATTATTTTTTTCATTATCATAAGTATCATTATCATTCTTATTACTATTATTATCATCATTATTATCATTATCATCAACATTATTATCTTTATAGTTATCATGATCATTGTTATCATTAATATAATCATTAATGATTTTGAAGAATATCATAGTCATTATTATCATAATTATCATTATTATTATCATCATTATCATTATTATTATTATCATTACAATAATTGTAATTTATCAGTTTTATCGCTATTATCATTAAAATTACTACCATCATCATCATTACCATTTTCATCATTATCATTAGCTTTATTATATTATCATTGTTACCATTATTATTATTGTTATTATTATCATTAATATCATTAATTTCCTTATCTTTATCATTTTCATTATCATTACCATTTTTATCTTTAGCATCATTATCAATATTGTCACTATCATTATTAATAATATCAGGAATTTTATTATCTTTATTATTTTCTTTGATTATTTGCAATATTTTTTAACATTATTATTATTATTTTCATCATAATGTTTTATTATTATCATTTTTTTATTACTATCATTATTATTAACAGTATCATTATTATTATTATCATTTTATCATTATTATTATTATCATTTTATCATTATCATTAATATTACTATAATATCATCATTATCAACTATTATCATTTTATTATTATTATCAACTAATATTATTCTATTATTATCATTATCATTATTAACGTTAACTTCATAATCATTCTTAACATTATCATCATTATCATTATCATCTTTATCATTATTATCCTCATAATCATTATCATTATCTTTTTTATCATTACCACATTTATCTTTACTATTAGCATCAATGTCGCTAGTGTCACTACTCTTATTATCATTATTAATGTTATGGTAATCGTTATTATCATTTTTGTCATTATCATTATTATTGTCATTATCTTCATTGTTATTATCATTTTTATTATTAACGTTATTATCAACAGCATTGCTATTATTATCATTATCATCATCATTCTTTTTTATAATTATCATTATCATTGTTAGTATTATTGACATTAATACTATCATTCTTATCATTATAATCATTATCATAATCACTTATATAATTTTCATTATTATCATTATCCAGATCATTTTAATTATCATTATAATTAATATCATTATTATCATTATATTTTTTATCCTCATTATCAACATCATTGCTATCATTTTCATTGTTGTCATTATTGTAATTGTCATTATCATCATTATAATTATTCTTATTATAATCATTTTCATTATAGTTTTTATCATTATCAATATTGTCATTATTATTACCATTGTTTTCATTATCATTATCCTTATTCTCATTCCCATTATTGTCATTATCATCGTTATCATTGACATTATTGTAATTATCACCATTATCATTATAATTCTTGTCATTAATATTATTATCACTATCACTATTTTTTATCATTATCATTATCATTCACATTATCATTATAGTTATTAGTATTATTGTTTTATTGTTATTTTCATTGTTATCACAGGTTTGCTATTAATCCAACAATCTTTGTTGGAATTCCTCTTAGCCTCAGGATCTCCCAGAGTGACTCGCGATGCACCGTATCAAACGCCTTCTTGAGGTCGATGTAGGCTGCGAGCAGCCCACGTCCGAACTCACGACGGCGCTCTACAATGACTCGAAGCACCAGGATGCGGTCTATTGTTAACTTACCAAGAGTGGATCCGGCCTCTGGTGCTTCAGCAGGTGGTCTCTGATACATCTCAGTAAGATGTGCGCGAGTACCTTGACTGGTATACTGAATAGTTATTATCATGATATATTCATACAAATAAATATATACATTTCTTTATCTATACATATAAATCCATATATACATATACACATATATATTCATATATACATATATATAAATATATTTATGTATACATAATCATACATATATGTAGGAGTATGTACATTTTTTTACTCATATACACATATATACATACAAACACATATATATATATACATATATATATATATATATATATATATATATGTATGTATATATATATGTGTGTGTGTGTTGCAGAGAGCCAAGAACCGGTGGGTTTCACTGGAAACGCTTGGGATCTTTTTGTGGTACTTTCTTGCATCTTCGATACATCTTGAATTCTTCTTTTTACATGCAATTCATTACCATCCATTTCTATTCCAATTATTTCCGTTAAACTGAAATTAACAAATCTTCCACTAATACATGCTTTACATATAACTCTTATTTCACACAATATATCTCACTATTCATATTACATTCTCCTTCAATTGTCTTTATATTGCAATAGATCCTTTACTTATACTAATATAAAAATATATCACAGGATTACAAAGATATACGCAGATATATTACCTCAGACACCTTACTTCATTTCTCTGAGTAACAAAATGGCTCCCAATGTTTATGATGATTAGTTATGCAAATGCCCTATAGATGTCGTACACTTTAGAAAATGATATGAGGATATACTCATCTATTTCATACTTAACCTAATGTTAGTAATATCACAATATCATAGGAACTGATTGTTTATAACTAAGTATACATTTTGTCCCTGCAATAAGAATATATATATATGTATATATATATACAAATATGCATATATGTATATATATATATATATATATATATATATATATATATATGAATGATGAAAACACTCTACCGTGTTGATATTATGGTAGAAAAACCCACAATGTTAAAAACTAGATTTATTGAAAATGAGACGACAGTTTCGGAATCCACATGGATTTCATCCTCAGACCTGAGGATGGAATCATATATATATACATATATACATCTTCAAAGCAGAGCCTCCAGGCTAGTACAGTGGTAACGTGTCGGCCTCTCATCCGAGGGGTCGGCGGTTCGCGCCCCGCCCAGGCGCGAGAAGTTGCAATTGTCGCCTGGGCGTTACTGCTGTGGCTGACACACTGTTAACGAGTCGACATTAGTCGGCACAGGCCGGGCTCCACCATAGCCCGGGCGAGGCTCAGCTTCGCATATCGGACTTATCCTTATCCTTCAAAGCAGTCAGCTCTGACTACTTTGGAAGCACCTGGGCTAGCCTTTCCCAATCGCCAACACTTAAGGAAAAAGCGTTAAGTCGAGCACAGTTCCTTTTACCAAGATATGTGTGCTGTCGCCCGAGGAAAGGCACGTGCTCATATATATAAATATATATATATATATATATATATATACATGTATATATATATATATGTACATATATATATATATATATATATATATATATGTATGTACATATATACATATATATATATGTATATATATATATATATATATATATGTACATATATATATATATGTACACACACACATATATGTATATATATATATATATATATATATATATATATATATATGCACATATATATATATATATATATATATATATATACATATATATATATATGAAAACTGTACATTTACTTAGCTATCTTTCATATATATATATATGTGTGTGTGTGTGTGTTTATAGTGGCTGTAGTAGCAATAGTAGTGATAATTTTAATGATTAATATTAAAATGGTTATAATCATATGGATAATAATAATAGTTATAATGATATGGATCATAGTAATAAAAATATATCACTAATAATAGGAGTGATGATAATAAGGATACTATTAGTCACAGTGCTTATATAATGATAGCAGTAACAAATAATTATGATGGCAATAATAAAAAAAAAAAACTACATACAAAACCCTCCACAAACGTCAGTAAGGGAAACTGCATAACAAACCCTGCCCCGTGATATTGTTGTTCTGTACATCCCTCGCCCAAATTTGAATATAGGACAATAGAACATACCATATTCAATAAACAAAACTGATTTTTATATGAATTAGAAAAGGGTATCAACAAGATATCATCAAGTAGGCCTAGTTCATAAACAAATTCCCCATCCCCAAAACCCTGGGGATGTTCCCTCAAGGTACAGTCAGACTTCCCAGAGATTCGTCAAATCACTCTGCCTTCTCCTCTCGTTCAGTCGAGCAGAGTTCCCTTGAGCGAAGGATCTCTGCGTTGAGAGCCAAGGGAAGACACGCACAACCAATTAGCTGAAAGGAGCGTAGTTGTACAGAGGGTGTGAAACAATAAGGTAAGGTCACGGGGAATTAGTTTAGGTGATTCACACAAGTATATGTATTTTTGTGGGTAAATATGCATCGGTGTAATTATGTGGACATAGCTAAGTTTATGTATAAACACACAGACACATATTCATACATGCATACAAATATATGTGTGTATACATATATATATACACACACATATGTATGTGTAATATATGTAAATATACATATATTAACATATATACATATTCATATATACACATGTATATATATATATATATACATATATATATGTGTGTGTGTGTGTGTGTAAATGTGTATTTATATATAAAAATATAAATATATTCATATATAATTATATGAGTTTATGCGCGCGCGCGGGCATGTGTATGTCTTTGCAGTGATGGGGATCGATTCATAGAATTGTCTACCGCGATGCCGATGCTTCGATTCCTCTTAGATATTTAAATCGATACCGATACTAATGCGTGTGTTGCCGATGCAATATCACCGATGTTTTGGTGTGAGAAACCCACAGCATTCCTACAGTAACATTAAGTACACATGCAGATGAAAGGTGCGTTGATGGCAATGTATAAATTAAGAGTATTAAAAAACCGTTCCTTTATGGTAAAGGAAAAGAAGAGATGGTCCACCGACAATTGACAGAGTGAGAAAGACAAAAACATTTGTACAGACGCGCATAGGTAGAGAGAGGGAAAGAGAGACAGACAGACAGTCAGGCAGATACAGAGCTAGAGAGAGATAGGGGGAAAGAGACAAAGAGATAGAAAGTCAAAGAGAGGAAGAGTCAGAGAATAAGTCAGAATGACAAAGAATAGAGAAAGAGTGGTGGCAAAGAGAGAGAAAAAGTCACACAGAGAGATAAAGAGTAAGAGAGAGGGATACAAAGAGAGACGGATTCGGTGAAATTTAGAGAGAATGAGGAAGAGACGAATGGAAAGGAGAGATACTATGATATATTATTGTTCTTATTGATTTTATGAATTAAAAAATAAGAAGATACATGATATATCTGTTTTTTTAAGATATTTGATAGATATTTAATGTTAGACCAGGCAATTTGCTGGGTTTGCAGTTCATGAATAGTAACTTCAAGTTGAAATTGGTCACAAATGTATGGATGTACACATATTTTCCACATTTTGGAAAAGGAAGACCTTTAGCGACGCCGATAACGTATCGATCGAATGTATCGCCGATACACTGTGTCGCTGCGGCTTCGCCCGTTTTGTTGGAGTTGGTTTACTGAATGAATACTTCTATGGATTCTGGGGAAAAACTATTGTTGTTGCTTCTTCTTTTATTCTCCATAATTGATTGATACAATTTCTGTATCTTTTTCCATGTCCGTACTCATACGTAAAACTGCAAACAAATAAAGTGGAACGTAACAACTGTGGCCACGTGGTCTTATATACTATTAAATTTGTAATAATTCACACAATTAACTCGATATATATATATATATACATATATATATATATATATATATATATATATATGTATACATATATATATATATGTGTGTGTGTGTAACATATATATATATATATATATATATATATATATGTAACATATATATACATATATATATATATATATATATATATATATATATATATATGTTACATGTATGCATATATATATATATATATATATATATATATATATATATATATATATATATATATGTTACATGTATACATATATATATATATATATATATATGCATATATATATATATATATATATATATATATATATATATATATATATGTATATGTATATATATATATATATATATATGTAACATATATATATAAATATATATATATATATATACAACTACGTAAGTCATTTCATCTTTTTTCTTCAAACAAGTGATAAGAGACAAACCATGTAGTATTAGTTACTTTTGACTTTGTATTGGAATATTTTTTCAAATACGATTGCCTAGAATTGTTTATCGAAATGGCAACACCTATGGAGGTGAGGCGGCATTTTCTTGCTCTTCCAACATATCAAGTATCAATTATAGCTGCTTGAAAATGCTTCATGCTTTAGAAATTCACTAATACCTTTCTAAATGGTTTTCATTGCTGCACCATCTTGCAAGGACTAATCGAACCGATGGAGTGACAGTTTTTTTCGCCTGAACGCTATAACTCTGATTCAATAAACCAAAATCATGCTATATTATATTTTCAATTACCTGAAAGCAAAACCGCAGCAGTGCTGCTGTTAATATTTTCACCGTGTGTGTGTGCGCGCGCGCGTGTGGAACGTTTATAGAAATACGAAGTCAAAATTTGGTGGTGAATTGCTAAACAGTGTGTATAAATCTTTTCTGTTCTTCTGAATGTTTTTTATCTTCTGCTAAAACCTGAACAAAATTTTCGCTATCATTATTCCACAAGTCGTGGCATTTGCTTGTTCTTGTTTCAACTACTCTCTGGGTGGTTATAAGGAGGGTGAAAAAGTCTAAACTTACTCCCAATACATGCACTGTATGATTTCTGCTATCTTGAAAGAAAAGTTATGATAAATTAGGAATTTAATCTCGCTCTCTAATTTTATCTGACATGTATGCGATTCATATTTCCCTTGTATTCGTCAGAGCATGTTAATTTTTTTTTTACTATAGAAATACTTATTTCCTGGTGTGTGAAATCACCTAAACGCTTGTTTGTTCACAGAGAAACCATAAAAAACGTATATTTATATGATATTTTTCTATGATAATGATTCTTCAATAAATTCCTTAATTTCGCGGCTAATCCTAATATATACTAAATAATAATAATAAAAATAATTATTACTGTTATTACCATTCTTATTATCAATATTATTACAATTATGGTCATCATCATTACTATTATTGTTATTGTAATATCATTATTATTGTTATTTTAATTATTATCATTATTATTATTGTAATTATCATTATTGTTATTGTAATTATTATCATTATTATTGTTAATATTAATACTATTACTACCATTGTTATTATTATTATTATTGTTATCATAATGATTGTTGTTATTGTTATTACTCTTATTCGTATTATTGTTCTTACTATTTTCATAACTATTATTTTTATTATTAATAATAATACTGTCATTTTATCACTATATGGCCATTCTTATGATTATCATCATTAGTATTGTCATTGTCATAACTATCATTATAATTTTCATTATCATTTTCATTATTATATTATTATTATTATCATTATTATATTATCATTATCATTATTATTATTATCAT